TTTGCTCGATATTTAGATAAAAGATTCTAGAGACAAATTGATCGAATTGTTAATAATAATTGAGTTTCTACAGATTGATTCTCGAAAATTTATTATTTGTCGTATTAATTATGATCCAACCAAAGAAAGAATTTCTTCAAAAGTTTGTAATAATTCTCAAAAAATTGAAGTAGGTTTCATGATCATAGCAAGCGGAGCTCTTCTATCAAATGTTCCCAGTTCCCATGTCTCGTTTTAAGTATGAAACGCTTCCAGAATCGGTAAAACTTTCGATTTTCCTTTTAAATTTTATTCGTCTATATTCGTCATGCAATAGTATCATGCCAAAAATTTTCGTTCGCAAATGCTGTCGATAGGCCTCCATGATTCTTGCATTGTGTTGATTTGCGATAACGCGTTCAGTGTGAATTATTACGGCGCTATTCTTGAACTTCTTTCGCGTTGCGTCGTGATACGATGGATAATGCGACGCGTGATGCGCTCAGTGAAAATATACTATAAATTATCTGAACTTCAATTATTATTGAGGAGAGGCTCCGTAAGTTCCCGCTCAGCCTACGAACTCATTTTCATCATCTCTAACTAAATATAACAGTTATATAATCCTAATTTGAATTTGTCGAGACATGTCGCTTGTCCGTACTCCTTCACTCTAGCTCAATGTCCTCACCTGGGACGTAACACGAATATCAAGCATCAATTTGATCACGTGACTTGGGAAGCGTTTATATTAGGCCATAATCATATGCCGTATGCCGTAATCTGTAAAAATTGACCAATCACCTTCGAATATTCCCTTCTTATCGCCGAATGAAAGGGAAATACTTGATGCCGATTAGTCAATTCTTATAGATTATGGCATACGATTACGGTCAATATAAACGCTCCCTTATTTTAACGCTGAAAATGTACGTCGAGCGCACAGACTTCTATATATATTACTAGACTGCTAACTGTTTAGGATGAGCTTATGTGAAATGGATCTCGAAATTGTATGATAATTCTGCGCATGTGTCACGAATATATCCAAAGGAATACATATAACTGTGTTTTGCATCAACTGTTATGCATGCTAAATGTGATCTTATGAAAGTGGTGTGATCTTATAGCAAAAAATATTATTTCTTTTGGAAGAGAAAGAGTTCAAATAAAAAGGTAAAAATATTGGAAAGACAATTGAATGTTAATAAACGTGCATAAAAGATGCCATTTTATAAGATGTCATTTTCTTTCTAAATTAGAATAATTTATAATAGCTGGATTATGAAAATAAATATTTGGTGGTTTTACTACTATAATACTGTTTTAATACTGTATTAAATAGGTTAATCTATCAATAGTGTGTGCATGTGCAGATATACAAGGTGCCATTACATGCAAGCGTCGAGCGTCGAACATCTGCACAGAAGTTTGAATCTCCAGACTCCTGCGTAATAATCTTTGCGCCGTTTCTTGACGCAAAATAATAAATTATAAGAGGTTATGTTTTACATTACTATCCTAACATATAATGCTTAAAATTTATATTTATTTACATTAAACAGTGTAAACTACAAGATTCCACTATTAATATATATCGTACATTAAATTCAATTACAGTAAAATTATTAAACATACCACTGCGCATGTTCTGACGCTCTATGCTGACACTACCATGTAAAGGCACCTTCACGCGGAACTCGACGCATGTGTATAATGTTACATTAAAATTGGGACCAAAACCACTTTTTCAAACAAGTTAGCAGTCTAGTAGTATATATAGAAGTCTGTGGTCGAGTGTTAGCAAGAAAAGGCACCTTAAGTACGTGAAAATATGAACGGATTCTAGTGACTCCCCGATGCCATTGATGGTAGGAAATTAGGAATCTAGGAATGAGGCACTGATGATCGATGACTGAAATTGAACATGGTATTGTGAGGGTTAAAACAGAGAATTTATGTTTTTAAAACGTACAAACACTTAAAACAACGAAAAATACTTAAAACGCATGCGCATGCCACAGAGCATAAATATGTGATCGCGGTATATCGCAGCATTTCGCAGCTGTGATAAATTTCCTAACCTTAATAATTGTCAACTTCAACGATTAATATTTCGGAGTAAAGCGACACTTTTATTCTTATTACTTTATTTTTACGTGAAAACGTAATCAATTGTGTATTTTTATCAAAATTTGAGATGGATAAGCTCTTGTTAACATTTACTTTGTGGCACTTTAAAAAAAAAAACATGATATGACAGAATACATCCCTCGAAATTGTTTCACTTTTATTTGAAACATTTTTTCGTATCATCAAAAATAAAATATATTCTAGATATTCGGTTGAAAAGTGTACCACTCTGATCTATATCAAGCCTGTCCAATTTGAGATCCGAGCCAAATTAAACGCCAAAGAATGTGGGTAAGATTTCGGGGACTGTAAAATATTGATACGCATTTAAGTGATGCTTATCAATATTTTTTAATTCCTAAAATCTTATATTGAATTTTTTTACATTGATGGCTTTGTGTTTTGGCTTCAGAGCTCAAATTGGACATATAAATGGCCTGGTCTATATAAATCAGAATTCTTTTGTGAAATCATTGTTTTTTTGCTGATATTAAGTTTTTTCTTCTACAAAAGTATTAATCTATTAAATAAACTATTGAATGAAATTATTAATCATTATTAGGATAATTATTTTTTATAATTTACATTTTTTTAAAATAAGAATCTTATTTTAAATCGTATATGTAAAAACACAATCAATATGAATTAGAAATTAAATGCTTATAATGGTCGAAGCTAATCTTAATCCCTGATAGCAAAGTCTGTGGAAATAGGTTTTGAGCAGGATCTGCTATCAATTTTTAATTGTAAAAAGGCAACAAATTTTACATAGAGTTTGTATTATCTGACATTGTCAAAAAATTGCTGTCAGAAATATGACAAAGTCTACAAGGAATGCTAGGCTGCAAGGATAAAATAATACATCATGCACATTATACATGAAATGGAACGCAGCCCTAGACATGCTATGGCTGTGTTCCATTTTCTTTGTTTAATACTCGGTGAATAACAAGGACAAATGATACATCATGAACATCATGCTTGAAATGGAATACAGCTTACATCAGCAGATTAATAGCAGAAATTCAAAGTTGGGAAGCGTTACTTTTTATAATAAACAATTTGATAATGACGTTGCAATTTTTTATAACTAAACTCTAAGGGGCTAAAATCGAAAAAGTCGATTTTTCTAACCTTAGCATCTTAGCTTTTTTTAGTTATAAAATAAATTAAAATTTTTTTAAAATTTTTTAGTTATAAAAAAATTGCAATATCATGTTTATTATCATGTCATATAAAAAGTAACGGAAGAAGTAACGCTTCCCAGTTCCGCAAAAATTGAACCTACATGACCTGACAATAGATTGAGAGTAGAATTTAATTCGAGCAAAAACTCTGCTTGATTTTTGTTACCATTAATCTGCAACAGGCTTTGTCGACAAATCCAAATGCGCACACAGATAATTATGGTTTTGTAGTCAAAATCTGATTGAGTTTGTTGCCATTGTGCAAAATTGCTAACATTTTGCTATTAAGGATGCTTAAATAATTCAATGTGAATTTTATGTGCGCGCGCGCGTGTGTGTATGTGTGTGTGTGTGTGTGTATATGTACATGTATATGTACTATATTTGTAGTCATTTGACTGCGTGTCGAATTGATTTTTCAAACTTATAAATGCAATTAAACTACTGTATATACTGTATATATAATAATATCACAAATTAAACTATATCGATAAGTAATTTTTAATAATTTGATGCTCAATCAAGTATCATATTAGAAAGATGTGATTATATGATTTCAAGTTTAAAGCCTTGAACTTTCAGCAAACTGTATTTTATTAATTTTATTATTAATTTATAAT